CATTTCACCCCAAGCAAGGCAGGAGTGCCACTCCACTAGTACGCAAGGGGTTACAGAGGATGAAAGAGAAAAGACTGGGTATAGGGGATTGAGTAAAGGATAAAAAAAGAACGGGTATGAAGGCATCAGAAGATGACGATTAACGTTAAATTCAAATTTTTGAAGATTGTAGTTATCAGGGAAGCAAGTAAGATGAAGGGAGTTCCACTGTCGGGAAGTGCAAGAGAAGAAACTGTGTGAGTAGAAGTGTTGGCTAAATTTAACTATTTCAACAGTAAAAGGGTGGGACCTAGATGCCAACCTAGTAGCACGCTCTAAATTCATCTAGTCGGGGCACCGGGGAAAATAGCACGTTAGAACAGATGCCATGTTGAATTTTAGAAAGGGTTTTCACAGTTATCATCCTTCCTAATAGGTATATAGGTCTATGAAGGTCTTTGTTAATGGTCAGTCCTCTGCAGATGGTCACGAAGGCTCTCTTCTCGGCCTTAACTTCTTTTTGCTTTATATTAACGATCTGCCTATCAAAAAACATTAGGAAATATCTTTACACATAATGCAACACTGTATAGGGGCACCTCCAATAATCTAAACGGCCAAATGGCAAATGATCTCCCATATGACCTTGTTCTAACAGCTCAAATAAATAAGTAACTAATAATTAGCAATCATAATTAAATAATAAATAATTAAATAATAAATAATTAATAATAACAAATAAATAAAAAAATAAATGAATAATAATAATAATCTATGTAAAACGTGCATGATCTTATTTTTATAATAATAATAATAATAATAATAATAATAATAATAAACCCCAAATCCTCAGCTCAAAACACCTTGAAAAAGGTTTTAGAAAAATGGAGAGGACTGATGAAATAATTAACCCTCTGTTAGAACGACTGGCATTTGTTACAGTGTTAGTCTCGTGGGTTTTTCAAACACCCATTTAAAATATTGTAGATGCCTAATTTAGTTCTTAATTTTCTTGTTATATATTGTCTTGAATTTTATTTATACTTGTTATAGGATAGATAAAAATTACTAAAGTTTAATATTGAAAAATTGAAATAAAACTTTTATATTAAAAAACTAACGTGTAAGTTTCAAAATTCAAATTTGCAAAATAGGTTTCATTTTCTTTTCAGTGAAATCCTCTTCAACTGTTGTTCTAACATTTCAAGCAATGAATAAAAAGATTACAGCGATGTTTACCCGTTTCTATACAATAGGATTTTATTTAAGGTCATGTGCTTATAATTCACACAATATTATGAATAAGGTCAGAAACTCATTTTAGTTACTTGACTAAGGGAGAAAGCTACTTGACTAATCACGAATATTTAACTTGTCACTTGTTAAATATTAAGAAAAATTATTTGGTGGGTTGTTTGACCACCCGATAATACTAACAGAGTCAATATGAAAAATGAATTTCTCGGTTTCAAAAGTTGAAATATGCAAAAATAGGTTTCATTTTGTTTTTACAAGACAAATAAAACGCTTCTAATTCATACAAATCGTATGACTAAAACCAGAAATTCCTGGTGACTATTTCACTGGATTATTCAGAAAGCTAATTAACTAATCAGGAAAACCTGACTTGCTATTTTTAGTAAATATGAAGGAAAAACAATTTTCTTGGTTGTTCAAACACCCCACAGTACTAGCAAAGGGTTAAAACCTTGGATGATGAAAACTTTAAATACATTTCTACTTGACTTAAAAACAGATACTAATAAGTATATTAGTTTAACAATGAAAAATTTCATTTAAAATTGTTTTAGCTTAATCCCCTTTGCTTCTGATCAACATAATAACATAACTTATTCTACAAGATTACTTATCAAGGCTTTCTTTTAAATAGTCAAGAAAAAAGGGCAATAAACATCCACTACAAGAAAAAGTACATAACTTCAGTCCTTTTCTTGAAATGCCTAAGCAGTTGCATAGGCAAAAATACACCTCAAGTGATGTTTATAGAAAACGATTATAAATTGTGAAGAAAAAAATGAGCTTCTTATAAGATCAAGCAAATAATGCGTCCTTTATCAAACACTCCACGGTACTATGAGGTTTCAATATTAACATTTGACAAACGTGTGTTTATATCTCTGAGATGAGGTATTATGATTACATGGCCCAGTGGATAAAGACGTTGGTTAGATCCAGTGACTAGACCCAACGAGTTGTGAGTTCAATACCAGGCCATAGCAGTGGTGAACCAAAATTGGAGAATTGAATTAAAGGGACATAACTAAGAAATCCGGAAGAGTCATGGCACGTGGAACTAGAACAATCTACCCCGGTGGACGAAATAAAGGCTTCGGTTCGAAATTCTAATCACCTGAACAGCTTACAAGGGTCGAAACGTTGTGAATATGGCAATGAAAATGAGGATAACAGTCTGAATAATGTAAATAATGCAAGTATTTGACAAACGTGTTTACTAGATTGTATTGCACAAATTTTAAAAGCCCTACTATAAATATAATTATAGAAAGCTTTGCTTTCTCTTGAGTTTGAACCCTGATAAATATGCAACTATTACAGTTACAAAGCAAACCTATAATTTAGGGTTTTGCTAAGCAATTTTTAAAATCATTTCACCCCAAGCAAGGCGGTATTGTCACTAAGAAGCAAAGGGTTACTGGCAGTGGAAGAGAATGAGAAGACTTTAGTGAGGAGAAAGGACAATAAAAGAACAGAATTCAGTAAGACAGAAGATGGCGATTGAAATCGGAAGCGAGTTCCGCATGAGATAATTACAAGAAAAGAACCTATTAGGATAGAACTTACGGTTAGATCGTATTTCAACAGTAAAAACGATGAGACCTAATCGCCACTCTAGTAGTAGGATTAAATTTGTGCTCAAGGTACTAATGAGAAGACCTCATTAGAAAAATATTTGTCAAGCACAAGATCAACTAAAAGGAAAAATTAGGATCAGATAATCGTTTTGAATGATCTTGACAACATGCATTGGCGAAAAATATGCAACTATCCCAACCACAAAACAGGTTGAAATGCTTCCTCTTTATTCCGAGCGAACTCAGACAATATTAACTAGTCACTTTCGTTCTTCCCTGTCAGGATCGATGCCAGTCTGACTTCGCAATGGGTTACAGGCTATTTGCTGAGACATGCGACGACGACCGATGTGGTATAAAGAATTGAATTTAGTATTCGAGATGATGTATTATGTACACTATCTACATTATTCGGACTATTGTCCTCATCTTTGTTACCATATTTATCACAACGTTTTGGCCGTTGTACGGTCCGGCCTTCTTCAAGTGGTTGGAATGTCGAACTGAACCCTTTATTTCGCTCGCTGGGGTAGACTGTTCTAGATTCACTTGCCATATCTAATGGGTGTCAGTTATCTCCTGTTAATTCCCCTCTCCAAGTTCTCCATTGCCTTAACCAGGTATTGAACTCACAACTCTTTGGGTCCTGTCACTGGATCTACCAACGCTTTTATCAATTGTGCCATGTGTCCTTTTGAAGGATGTCCTGATGTTATATGGACTGCAGATCCTTTGTATTTTCTCCGATAACCCCTTTACATAAGGCAGGCAGACAGTTTTCCGAGTGTTTTTGTCCTCCTCTTGTACACAGATGCCCTTAGCATCCCTGAACCAAATTTTCCTTTTTTGCCTTTTTAAACGGATTTGTCTCCAGCATATTGAACTTATCAACCACCAGTGAACCTGGAGCAGACGTGAATCGTTTTATTTCTAGACTTTCTTTTGTGAATTGAAGCCGAGAAAAGGGTTTAAATAACACTGGTCAACACGATTTTTGGTGCCAAGAAACAAACATTTTTTTAGCTAATTTGATGGTGCTGGTTCCGAAAATGACCTTAGTTTTTCATGGTTACCTGCAGTTTTTGCTGTACTGAAATTGCTCAATTTTGGAAGAAAAAAAAAAGATCAATTTACGATCTTGGCTGATCGCAAAATTTAGTTAATACAGGCCGTAGAAACCCATCAATTTTCAGGTAAGCCGAGCAATTTATGTCAGCCACCCGAAATAAACTGTTTTTATAAGAAAAAAGTTTTTAAGTCAAAAGTTTTATAATAGATGAACCGAAGTTTTCCAGTTTATCGCCAAAATTCAAATTAACTGATAAACTTTATTAGTAATACACTTTAGTAAACCTGATAATTAAGGTGAAACCCTAAAATCTTCTGTTTGATATTCATAAATCGATCCCATCACATTTATCCCTTCATTACAGAAGGAAACCGAGTACATTGAGAGCATTTTGTTTTCACAGTTGGAAAGAAATTCCAACTAAAGACATCCTAATTGAATGCACCAATTCCATTGTACATGATACTGCTGGAGAATCAAAAGGGATTTAAATAACATTGAACTTGACAAACAATCAAGAACGAGAAAATTTTTACCATAGTTCTTATGTTCACAAAGGTTTTATTTTTGCTGTTAGTTTATTAAATGATTTGATGAAAATACTTGTTGGTCTTGGTATATTCAATCGTGTTATTATTTTTTTTTTACAGATTTAGGATGCGATTGTTATTGCAAAAATAGTATTTCTCAATAAACAAATTAATATTTGTTGGTTTAAATACGAATTGAGAGGTTTCTACTATTTTATTTTAAGAAACATTGCCATCCGTCAATATCACAGAAAACAAATAAAAAAGCTTTTTTTTTCAAAAATGAGGCATTTCAGTACAACAAAAACGGTAGCTAACCAAGAAAAAGTAAGGTCATTTTCAGATTCAGCGCGCTCAAATTAGCTAAAAAAGATGGTTGGTGTCTCGACACCATTCCGAAACCTTTTTTTGTTGTTGTTGACCAATGTAATAGTAGCAGCAGTATTAATTTGTCTCAATTCGAAGATTACTTATTTTAAGACTCGAAGACTATTCAACCTATAAACAAAGTAAATGAAGAAAAATAATTAAGAGAGTTTCTATGCTATTTTTCAAGCGTAAAGAAAAAGAAAATGTCATGTGTCTTACCTGCTTCGCTTTTTCCTCTTTTTAAATGAGTTTCTTTCTTTTTAGTGTTTTTTTTCTTTTGATCCTCTTTTTTGTTCATTCTTGTCAGCGAGTTCGACTCGCCTTTAAAATGAAACTGAGAAAATTCTCCCCGAAAGGCGAATCTGAATTTGAGCTGTTGTATCAAATCTGAACTCAGAGGAAGAATAAAAGGTTGAGTATTTGGTTTGGAGTTTGGCCCCAGGGCGACAACCACGGCTGCCTTGTCCTTGAAAAGACCGGTTAATAGAAATTTTCCAGTGTAACTCTGTTCAGGAGAAAGTCCATCGAAAAAATTCACGTCTTTCTCCCACTGATCCTGAAGGATTTCCTTAAAGTCAATAATCTGTGGCAATTTGAGGCGTTGGAGAATATCTTTGACGCTGTAAAGGTTAGGGTCAGGCCTGACTCTAAAGCGACCAATATCACTCGGTTTCAGCTTCAACGTTTGATCCCCATAACGGCAGATTAATTTGTCTTGATAGTATTTATCCTTGCTGTTTCGTAAAAGCTCTAGTTCGCTACCTGCCTGAAGCTGAATGAATTTCGACTCGGAACATATCTTCAAGTTTTCCTCAATTAAAACGTAACGGGGAAATGTCATAATGAGTTCTTCGACTGTATTACAAACGTGTGACTCTCCGTACAATGGTACAATCGTTCCGCGGCCCAT